CCATCGTCATCGTCCTCGACACCATCATCACCATCATCATCGTGGTCTTCGTCATCATCAGCATCATCAGCATCAGCATCATCAACACGATCAAATCAGCATCTTCAGCAGCATCATCAGCATCGTCACTACCATCATCATCGTCATCATCATCAACAGCATCACCATAACAATCATCATCATGAGCACCCTCATCATCATTATCATCATCACCGTCATCATCAACAGCATCAGCATCATCAGCATCATCATCATGCGCATAATCATCAGCGTGATCACCATGATCATCCGTATCATCGTCATGAACATTATCATCACAAGCCTACTCGTCGTCATGCCCATCAACATCATAATCGTGATACTCGTCGTCAGCATCGTCGTCGGCGTCGGCATCATCACCATTGTCGCAACCATGTTGTCACCACTGTGGCCCCATCCTCACCATCGTCATCATCCTAAGCCTCATCATCATCATCATCACCACCAGCATCACCACCACCATCGCCAGTCGCAGAGCCATCATCGTCAACATCGCCATCGTCATGACCACCACCACTATCATCAACATCACAATCATCATCATCACCATCATCATCATCACCATCATCATCCTCACCACCACCACCGCTGCCACAACCACCATCATCCTCATTATCCACGCCAGAATCATCAGCATCATCATCAGCAACAGCATCCTCGTCAGCATCAGCATCAGCACCAGCATCACTATGTCAGCATCATCCTCATCGTAATCATCGTCTACTCATCCTCCTTTTCATCCTCATCTGCATCTGCATACTCATCCTCATCATTGCCACCACCACCATCACCATCATCATCATCATCATCATCATCATCATCATCATCATCATCATCATAATCAACATCAGTATCATCATCAGCATCATCATCAGCATCGTTCGCATCCTCGTCCACATCCTCATCCTCATCCTCGTCCTTCTCTTGTGCTTCCTCATCCTCAGCATCAGCATCTGCGTCAGCATCAGCATCATCATCATCAGCATCAGCATCGTCAACATCAGCATCGTCACCATTGCCACCACCACCATCATCACAATCATAATCATCAGCAGCATCATCGTCAGCAGCAGCATCGTCCTCAGCATCATCAACAGCATCATCATCGTCAGCATCATCATCAGCGGCATCATCACCACCGTCATCATCCTCATCAGCATCATCATCAGCATCATCAGCAGCATCGTTATCATACTCGTCCACATCCTCATCCTCATCCTCCTCCTTCTCTTTCGCCTCCTCATCTTCAGCATCAGCATCAGCGTCAGCATCAGCATCAGCAGCAGCAGCATCATCATCATCAGCATCATCATCGTCATCATCAGCATCGTCATCATTGCCACCACCACCATGATCATCATAATCATAATCATGAGGAGCAGCATCATCATCAGCAGCAGCATCGTCCTCAGCATCATCAGCAGCATCATCATCAGCAGCATCATCATCAGCAGCAGCATCACCATCGTCATCATCCTCATCAGCATCATCGTCATCAACATCATCGTCATCAGCATCATCATCATCAGCATCATCATCATCATCATTATCATTATCATCATCAGCAGCAGCATCATCAGTATCATTATCATCATCATTCTCACCACGTCCGTAGTTAGCCAGTTTGGCTCAAGCCTGCCTTGAGCGCCAGGCAGACGCCGCGCTGTGTCTCGCTCGTTCGTAGGAGAGAGCAGCCTTGTCCTTCTCCCCGTCGCGGCCTCCAAAATGGCGCTAAGGGGCGCCAGCAGCATGACTGTGCTCGGGGGGCTGCCAGCGGTGTGGCGGCCAAGCACGCGCCGAACCGAGGACGAGCTGACCTGGGCACGACTGCGGCGCGGAGGGCGGCGCGACGCAGGTGCCAGCAGGCCTGTGAGGCCGCGCTGCGCAGCGTGGTCGCTGCTGCCGCCATGCCTGGGTCGTGGCAGGACCTTGAGAGGACCGCCAAGCCTGCCCTTCGGCTGGCAGCGGCAAACGCCCGCGTGCCAGGCAGCGCCGTGGCGCCGCAGGAATGCGGCCTGGCATGCTGCCTTGGCGCCAGCGGCGGGCTTTGCGCTGGCCATGGCCTGTGACGTCGCCATCTCGGCGGTAGCCAGCGGCCCCAGGATGGGGCCGCCTGGTCCTGCCACCCCGCAGGCTGTTCCCCCGGCGCGAGGCGTTGGCGACGCCCAGCACGCAGCAGAGCGCGGCGCCGCCGTGGCCCGAGGGCTGTCGAACGCTGAACGCGGTGGCGCGGGAGCAGGCCATCGATGAGGGAGGAGGCCGAGACACACTGACTGACTGACACACGGCTGTTGAACAATGATGTACTGAAGGGTTCTCTCATTTAATGTTTGTACACATGCTCACGTTGTGCGAGCTGGGAGACGACGGTCCGCAAGGTGAGCTTCTCCAAGATGATAGGCGACGTTTCGGACACACACCGCCAGGAGATAGAGGGCGGTGCTTATGTTGCCGCGGTCGGCCTCACGCCGCAAGGCGTCGGAAAGATGGGGGGCGATGCTGGCGGATATGCACTTCAGCCTCACGGTGCAGGACGGCGTCGCGGTCGCCCGCAGCTCCCGCCAGGAGGAGAGCTTCGGCAAGATGGAGACCTACAACCTACAAAGGTCCCAGCTGATGGTGCCACCCATACACCTCATTAGGCCAACGCCAGAGCCTCAGAAAGTCGTCTCGGGAGTCAGGGTTGTGTAAAGGAGCCTGTCACAAGAGGACTGGGGCCACGGCAGATCTTGACTCGATATGCCCCTACGAGGTGGTCAGCGGAGATGGGTGTCAAACGAAAGCCCTCGCGCTTGCCGCTTGCCCCCTCGCCCTCGTCCTCCTTCGCAAACTGCGGAAACTCCCAGCCGGCCCGCTACGTAGACGTCACCGCCTTCTTGCGTTCCAATCGATTCCAGTCTCGATCCCAGCGCCGAATCCGAGTTGTTCTCCACCCCGCCTGGCGAGGTCCGCGGCCATGTTGGCCCCAGGGGACGATCGCCCAAGGGGCAGCGGGCGCGCTTCGGCGGCAGGCGCACACCGGCGCTGCCGCAAGGCGGCAGCGGGCGCCGTGGGCCCGCCCAGCGTCAGGATCACCACCGTCCACACGACCTGCGACCACCTCGCTCCTGTCCACTGCGCCCTCTTCGTCACCACTCCCGTGAACATCCCCCGCTCCCGGACCCCGCTCTGCCCTCATGCCTCCCAACCCTCTCGCAGGATCCGTGTCTTCTCCCTCACCTCCTCGTCCTCCACACCCTCCCTGAACCTACCGCTCATCATCCTCGTCCGCGTCCTCCTCCTGCAGGCGTCCTCCCCTTCAAGTCTCCTCGTCGTGCGGCGCCCTCTTCAGATCTGTGCGTCTGACTGCACTCACACTTCCACCAGATCCGATTGCGGGCCACCCGCGGGCATGCTCACAGAAGCAGAGCCCGAAGGGGCGAAGGAGGAGGAGGAGGAGGAGGACGAGGAGGGAGGTGAAGGCGGTCAACGAGGAATGCATAGACATAGCGCGATGAGGACGAGGACGCCGAGGATAAGACGCCTGGGTGCGACTGGGGAGAAACAGGAGGAGAAGAGCAGCTGGAGGACGGCGACGAGGATGAGCAAGAGGCGGTGGAGTTGGGGATGAAAAAGGGGCGCGAGAGGAGGCTGCCCAGAGGAAAGGGGGGGGAACCATCGCTTGGCCATGGGGGAGGCTAAGGTTTGGCGGCCCGACCCTAACCCGACACGCTGTGGCCCCTGGCCAGTCTGTTGAGTCCACCGCGCCCAAGCGCGGAGGCATAAGCGCCATGTCTCCGAGGCTCCTGCGGCGGAATGTGCCCCTGTAGCAGAGCTTCGGGCTCCTACTAGTTCCCTGAGGGCTTGGCGGTAAAATTGGGCCAGGGGAGCGGGGGTGTGAAAACGGCGGGCGACTTGCCCCCCCCCCCTCCTTCCCTTTCGGGTGACGCACAGAGAGAGCCTTGGCACAAGCCAGGACCAGCCGTGCAGCCTGCCCGCCACACTAACAAAACATGCCTCGGATGGACCCCGTCCCAAATCGAGGCAGCTCTGGGGGGGCAGCCCTCGGCCGCTGCCTGCGCCGCCTCTCGCCGCCTCTCTCGGGCCAGGGCGACACGATCGTCGACGCTACTACGGGGCAGGGTTGGGTTGGGCCCTCGCTTCGGTGTGCCAGATGCGAGCGAGTCTTCTGGCTTCCCCCTCCAGTGCGCTCGAGGGCTGGCCTGGCCATCGCCCACGGTGCAAGATAGACGATGGCTTCCAGGCCTCTACATTGCGGGCCCAGCGACGCGCGCAGCCGACTCCGTCTTGCAGCGATGTCTGCGCCCAGGGAGCCCAGGCCTCCTTCTCCGAATCGGTGGACTTGTCCAAGTCATTGATGAGGTTCCCGGTGGCATCGTCGACTGTGCCCACTGCTTGCGTACCCGCTGCCATGGCTGCGCCGAACAACTCGCCGAGCTGCCGGGCTGCGTCGAAGCCGTGCTCGAGGCCCCCCACCTCTTGAAACTCTTCTGAGGCGTCCTGCGAGCCGGCCGCGTGGAAAAGAAGCTACGGGCGATCATGATGAAGGATGGTGTAGCTGATGTCACCATGACGACTACTGAACCATCGAAGGGGAGCTTCTGGGGATCTCCAGCTGTCTCTGGCTTTGTCATTCCTGGACCTGGCCCTTGCCCACTTGATGATAGGGGGGCTGGCTCTTGGGGTACGGGGGCGTCAGGGCGGGGTGCACGCAGCTCTGCTTATGGACTGCGCCAAATCCTTGGCAATGGTGAAAAAGATGGTGTCTAAGACGGCCTGGTGCTGCTGCGGGCCGAGAGGCTGGGCGGCATCGGCGAGCAAAGCGCCTGCGCACTCGAGCGCGCTTGCGCTCTGGGCCCAGGCCTGCGGCTGCAGCTGCGGCCCGAGCGACGAGGACGACGGTCAATTGTCGGGACCCGCTCCAGATCATGCTGCACAGCGAAATCAGCAAGCAAGCCATGGTTGACCTCCCCAAGCCCGCTAGCTGCTTTGAAATGAGCGCACACGAACCCAAACCTCGGGAGTCCTGGGATCTCCAGAAGTAGGCCAGTCAATCTGCTGCGATCAACCCTGCTGGGATAAAAAAAAAACATGTTTGAAACGCCACTGTCGCAAGTCACTCTGGCAAAAAACGCGCCTCCACTTTCTATATGATGATTGCTGTGGAGAGCCGCGGGTGGGGTATGCGCCAACCAACCCATTGACTGGCACCATTGAACTTGCTGCGATATGACATCCTTCCTGGACACAAATCAGACAACAGTCACGCGCAGACTTTGGCTTGAGGAACTGCTTGCACGTGGGGCAGCAGCCGCCATTGAACGTGACGAGACCGCGCTTGCCAAATATGCGCCGTGTTGGCATGGGTGACCGCGCCCGGTGCAGCACGCGCTGTGCCTCTGATCTGACCCGCTCTGCGTCCGAACCGTTGGAGGACCCGAGGTCGGCCACTTGCGCGGGGCTGCCTGCTGCGGGCCGATGGACTGCAAACTAGGTGGCATGGCCTCGTCGAAGCCCATTGCCGCATCTGCCCTATCCTCTCCGCTGTTTGCTGACAAGGCCTCTGCGGCCATGGGGAAGTGGGTGGGGGGGGCGCTGGCCACGGCGCGGCGCCGAGCCTGCTCGCGGACGAAGCCGCGGTCGCCCTCTCGGTGCCGCCGCTGGGGGTAACCTGTGGGGGCGCCGCATCCCTGGCCATCGCTGCAGGAATGCTCCTGGAGCTGCGAGGACAATTCGCCGACCTACTTGACCTTGGCCGTGAGGCTGGGCCGATGACGCCGCACAGTGGGATCTTGGACAGCAGGGCGGCATGCAGCAGCTCCCCGACGTCGGAGTTCTCGGAGACCTCCTGAGGCGCCGCCGTCAATGCCACTGCGCGCTGGGCTTCAAGAGATTGAAGCTCTTCACGAGCTTCTGCCTGATCATGTACCTTGAATTTGTACGCCTCGGACAGCTCCTCGATCTTCTCCTCCATGCCGGCAAACTCATTGAAAAATGTGACAAACTTACCCTTGATGGTATTGATCTGGCCGGAAGGCGACTGCGTTTGTTGATCCAAGCTGTTGCCACGAAGAGCCTGCATCTTAGCTTGTTTAAGAAAATCTCCGTCGCCTCAAGATATTGCTTCTTATCGACTCCAACCCACTGGCGCCAGACAGTAACTTGCACCTGCGCCAGCGCCACTGGATCAGAAGTTTCATCTTGGACGGGGGTCTCTTCCTTGTCTGGCTGCGGGGGAGGGCGGGAACGCCCTCGACCAGGTCGGAAAGAAGAGTCCCTTGATGCACTCACTGCCTTTGTTCACATCGTGTTGCTTGAAACTGGTGCCCTTCGAAAATGAAGAACCGCATGCTGAGCACCACTGCTTGCCACTCCATTCCCAACCGTTGCAGCCACGCTTAGAGCAGCAAGTATAAGACGAGCGACCCATGGCGGCAGCACTGCTCGGTGCGTGGAAAGGAGTTTAATGTTGGCCAAAATACGTCCCTGCTGGCGGCTGTTTGCGCAGTCTCGGGAGCAGGGGACAGAAGACGGCGCTGGTGCCCCTCTCGAGGGGCGGGGGGTCCGCAGATTGCGACTTGAGCCAAAATGGCTTGAGCCCAAATTGCTACGGAGAAAAGGAAGGGGGGGGAGGAGGACGTGGAGGAGAGAGAGGAGGAGTAGGAGTAGGAGAAGGGCGGCGAGGAGTAGAAGATAGACGAGGCGGAGTAAGACGAAGAGAACGAGGGACAGAAATAGTTCCTCTCATGCTCCCCGACAGCCACCAACTGCCAGGGCTCTCCCCCCCATGGCAAGAGATCCCCTTCCCAGACGGACCCCCCGGGTGCAATCGGCACCAGTCGCCCGAAGGCGCGATTGCCAGCATCAGCGGGTCCTCCGCGACCTCCCCTCGCCCGGCCAACTGCCGAGCCACCTCGCCGCTGCCATCGAAGAAGACCTCCGTGCTCGGGCCGAGCTCGACCTTGGCGTCGACCAGGGCCCGAATCGCGGCTGCCTCCGACGGCGGCGTGCCCGGCCAGAGCAGCACCAGGCGCGGCGTGTACCTCGGGGGGACCGTCGGCGGAGCCGCGGCATGGAACCTCCTCGTGGCCTCCAGGGCGCTGCCCCCGGCCCCGACGGGGTGCAGCGCGGCGGGGGGCCGCAGCGGCGCCACGACCACCGCGCCGCGGAACCTTCAGAGGTGGGAGACGTCCACGACAGGCACGGCCGCGGGCAGCAGCCGAGGTGGGCCGCCGCCGCGGTAGTCGAAGAGGACCCGCTGCAGCTGCGGCGCCCGCCGGGCGTCCGTGCAGCCGAACAGCCGCTCGAGCCCGAGGGCTCCGGCGCGGCGGAACGTGTAGAGCTTTCCTGAGGAGAGCCAGAGCACGGCACGAGCACACACACACACACACCTTTTGTTTGCACCATATCGAGCACTCCATGCCCCTGGACCCCTTTCAAAGCAGGGTGCAACAGGGGCATGGAGTGCCCGGAATGGTGCAACAAGGAGGTTGCATTTGAGGCGCGTTCTATTCCTCATATGTAGTGCCACCCGTGTTCTGTTGCACGAGCACACACACCTTTGAAGACCCGCCCGGATCTCTGGGACCCGGCCACCCCCCCCTCCTCCGCCAGGGGGGGGGGCACCAGCGCCGCTTCGGGAAACCCGCGCGGAACGCCGACAAGTGTGTGCTCACGCCGGTTCTGCTGCGATCTCCGGCGCTCTCGAGGCGCAGCTCGTTGACGGAGGCGACCTCCAGGGCTGCCCCGACGACGGCAGGCTGCCGGCCGCCCCGGAGCTGGACCTCTGCGGGCACGCGCCCGAGGGCGCCGACCACGAGGCCGGCCTCACCGACCAGCGCGCGCCTGGGCGGCGCGCGAACGGGGGGCGGGGTGAGGGGTGTTAGGCTTGGGTCGGGCATGTCCCCCAACAGGCGGATTTGGGGCGAAACATTAAACAGACTTACAACATACACAGAAATATTGAGACAATGCCTAAAACATCGTCCCCAGACTATTATTTGACTATGTTTGAATGTTCCCCCTGTAGAGGGACAGGCCCGACTTCATGTTAGGCCAATCTCCACCACCACTACCACAGGCAGGACGAGAAAGAAGGGAGGATGGGGAGGCCCTCCTCCTCCTCCTGCTCCTCCCTCCTCCTCCTCCCTCCTCCTCCTGCTCCTGCTCCTCCTCCTCCTCCTCCTCCTTTTGCTCCTCCTCCTCCTCCTTTTGCTCCTCCTCCTCCTCCTCCTCCTCCTCCTCCTCCACCTCCTCGTCCTCCCCCTCCCTCTCCTTCCCCAGCGATTGGGCACGGCCCGACGTCCATGCCAGCGCTGCGAGCGCGCTCCTACCTATGGTAGCGGTGGTGGAAAACTGGCCCACCAAAGGAGGGCGGCGGCCTCCTGAGATGGCAGGAGGCCTCTCGGAGGGGCTCGGCTCCGGGGCCTCTCGGCAGGCGGCAGGCGGGGGGGGGGGCTTTTGAGCAGCCACCTGCCTGCCCTCGTTGGGAAGGGCAGGAGGCAACACAGGCACAACCCCCGCGGAGGCCCGCGCGGAACTCTTGGGCCGACGTCGGACCCCCATCCCCTCACCGAAAAGGCGCCCCTGAGACCCAAGACAGCAGCGGGGCCCTCCGCAAGCGTACGCCTGTGATGCCGCGGTCTGGACTTCGCCCCTCAGAAGGCCGGCCCGCCCGCGCCAACCGATTCCGCGCGCCGCCGCGCCACAGCAGCTCCCCGTGCGCGCCGACGTCTCCGCGCGCCCAGTCGCCCCTCAGCTTGGTCGCTGCGAGCACGGTGCTCCCGGGCTCCGCGCCCGACGTCGCCTCCACCGTCTGCGTCTGCACGAGCCGACGCATCAGCCGGGCCGCCGTACGGCCGCCAGGCATCTCGATGGTCTGAACGCCCGGGCCGTACCTCGGGACCCGACGGCTGGACGTTCGCGTCCACACGTCGAGACCAGGCTCAATTGCGCTGCTTGCCCCATTGGGGGCCCAAAGAATATACACCGGAGGTGGTGGTGGTGTGTATTTTTGGGCCCCCCACCCATGTGGGGCAAAGGCGGCCGCTTCGTCCATGCCCCAGGGGGGGGGACGAACAGGCGGCCGCGCCCAGTCCCCGAGGCGTCGTTCTCGTCGACCTGGGCCCGGGAGGTGGGCGTGGCCCGAGGGGGGGGGGAGGTGCGGAGGTGCGCCTCCGAACAACGCTCGCCTACGCCGACGCATACTCTTTTCGCGGCGATCGGCCCCCAAAGATGTCGACCTTTCCCCAGCGGGGGCCCGCTCAGACAGGCTCCCGGGGCCGAAAGCGTAGACCAAAACCGCCGCCGCGACATGCTATGCGCGACGCCCAGCTCAGAGGGTTCAGCCTCCCCACGAGCAGCTCTCCAACTCGCAGGGGCCGAGCCTCACAGGGCCCTCCCGGCGCCTCGGCGGCCCCGCAGGGCGCCCCCGGGGAACTCCGCCGGCCCTGCTGCCCCCCCCCCGCGGCCTGCTGGGAGCAGGGGCGGCTCCGCCCACCACCCTTGGGCGTGGCATAAAGGGGGGTCACAAATGGGGGGGTCAGAAAAGGTCCCCTTTCGTCCCCTTTTCGGGCCCCTCCAGAGCCCCAGGGGGCCCGTTTAGGTACCATTTGGGTACCTTTTTGGACCACACTCGCCACCCCCCATTTATAATCCCCCATTACGCAGCGCCCAACACCCGTTCCGCGAGGAGCCCCGGGAGGGGGGATCACCACTCGCCCTGCAGCGCCCCCGGGGCGAGCACCAGCGCCTGAGCGGCGGCCGCGAGCGCCCTCGCCGCCGCGGCGGCCGCGAGCGCCCACGGCGCCCCGGCCCGGCGCGGGGCGGCGGCGGCGCGGCCGGCCGCCGGTACCTGGCCGCAGGCGCCGAGCGTGGGCGCTCGCCGATGCCGCATGGCGCCCGCGGTGTCGCGGCGCGGCTCGGCGAGGAGCCAGCGGGTGGGGCCCCTGTCGCCGCGCGGGGGGTCGGGGTCTCTCCGGCCCTGGCTCTCGCGGCAGGGGCTCCCGCCATGCAACGCGGGGCGCTGCTCGGGCCTGGATGGCTACGGAGGGGGCGGCGAGGGCGACGCCGACGACCACGGGGACGACGACGACGACGACGACGACGATGACGACGACAACCGAAGGAGGCGAGCACGATGGGACAAGAGGGTGAGAACAGGGAGGGGGAGAGAGCAGGTGGGAGGGAGCCGATGGAGGAGTGGAAAGAGCAGGGGAAGCAGGAGGAGCAGCCGCCGCGATGACCAGGCGGCTGGCGAGGGAGAGGGGGCGGGGGGAGGAGGCGGAGAAGGAGAACGACGACAATGAGCGCGGAGCGGTGGATGAAGGACGAAGAAGAGGATGACGCTTGGAGATTTGGAGACTACCTCGAGAAGAAACCCCTCGCTCGCCACACAGGGCGCGTAGCAAAACTCATGAATCCTCGAAGCTACAGGCCTCAAAGATGTCGACCTCTAGAGCTTACAGGCCCTCATACTCGGAGATGCAACTCATCACCGAGAACGTGTCAGCGAAGGGATTGAAGAAGGACAGGAAGAGGATGAGGACCAGTGCAAGCCCAAGACGCATCAACATCATTGCAATAACACTCCCTCAGAATTCCCTCTTCATGGGTTCCTGCAGGCAAAGAAATGAATCGCGGATTGAAAACAAACATCTGAGATTCTTTAACAGTGCCAAAAGAGCCTTCCTGGGACTTCAACGATGCGAATCGACGTGACTGCTGCGTCCTGACAATCCTAAATCGTGCCACCACGCTACTCTTGGGATTCCAACTCCGCGAATGAACGTGACTGCTGCGTCCTGACAACTTAACCGTGCCAGAACAGCATTACTGAGACGGCAACGATACGAACCCTTGAAACTGCTGCAAACAGTTAAAAAGAATGTGCGCGGGGCCACGGCGAGAGTCGCATTTTGAGCATGCGCCACCATCCATCCTCGAAGCTGTTGCACACTTTTGAAACGACTGGCCTCACGCTGAAGCGAGAGCCGCATTTTGAAAACGGCCTGCCCTCCATCTTTGAAGCTGCTGCAAATCTCCAAAACAAATGTGCCCGGCGCTAAGGCCAGAGCGGCATTTCAAAAACGGCCCACCCTCCATCCTTAGAACTGCTGTATCTGTTTGAGACAAGTGTGCGCGGCGCTAAGGCTAGAGAAGCAGTTGAAAAAAAACCGCTCTCCATCCAGTGGAGCAATTTCAAGCTTGACAATCGCAAGTTCTGGGGAAGACTCGGGCGAAAGGCGTGGCCCACCCTACTGGTACGTCTGGAGGTGCGACAGGGAGGAGTTATGTACAAGGAAACTGGATGGAGAAGGGGGACGACGACTACGACGAGGGCGGGATGAGGAAGCCAAGGCCGAGGCAGAGGCGGCTGTCGATTGGGACGGAGGAGAAGGCCGAGACGTCCGAGGCGGGCAGCGAGCGGGAAGGGAAAGGAGTGGACACTTCGGGCAGCAGAGGCAAAACGAGCCAGCATGGAAGAGTAGCGGGATGAAGCCCGCAGCCCAAGACAGGGAGGGGTAGATTCCACACACTTTCCCACCCCACCCTGTCCTACCCCAAGCGCGGCGAGAGCGGGGAGGGACGAGAACGAGGGGAGGACGGGGAGGAGCAGGAGAGGCGGGAGCCCGGGCCGGGGCAGCAGGAAGATCTGCAGCGGCACAGAGGACAGGGAGGAGCAAGAGGCTGGGGCTGACAACGACGACGACGACGACGACGACGACGACGACGACGACGACGGCGACGGCGACGGCGACGGCGACGGCGACGACGACGACAAGGAAGACGAGGAGCACGACCATCGTTCCAGCAGAGGGGGCTCTGACGAGGGAGCAGATGGGTGTGTCTGGCCACGGCGACCCTCGGCTACGAGCAGGTCCCCAACCTCATATGAATCTATGGGGAACAGCCCGAAGACCAGGGCCCCTCCCAAACCCAAAAAGGTCCCTCTCTCGGCGGCTTGCTTGAACATCGGCCCCCAGACTCCCGGCCTCACGGAGGAATGCACGAACCCTCTGTGTGGGGGTCCACGAGCTGGCATCAGTGATCCTAGAGGCCTCCTACCTGGGGTCCGAGTAGATGGGGTCGCAGGATCGCACCGCATCGCCGATACATCGGCGATGCATCGGGGATGTATCAGTGATGCACCGGCGATGCATCGTCGACGTCGGCGATGCATTGGCGACGTCGACGTGAAACAAATCGAGCACCACATCGAGCCGGATCGGTGATGCGTCGGCGACGCAGCGCGATCCTCCGACCCCCTCTACTCCGACCCCACGTAGGAGGCCTAGAGCTCAAAACTTAGGACGTCAGTGAACCAGTCTTCTGCACTCGACGTCCTGGCGGACTGCACGAGGACGACGAGCAGCCTCGCCGGCAGCCGCGGCTGCAGCGGCGGCACGGCGGGGGTCCAGGCAGCGGGCGCGGCCCCCCGCCTGCTTCGCCAGGGGCGCCATGGGTCTTTCTCGGATACGAATGAGGCGGGCGTCGCCAGGTGTGGAGCGTTGGACACAGCGAGGCGACACAGCGCGCCTGAGGGAATTCGGAACAAGCAAACACGCCAACCTCGTCCTCCTCGTCCTCCTCCTCCGCCTACTCCTCCTCCTTTCCTCCGCGTGGTCCTGGTTGATGTCCTCGACGTCCTCTTCCTGCATCCTCGACGACCTCCTCCTGACTTGTTGTCCTCATTTCTTCCGCCTCCTCCTGCTGCTCGTCCTCCTCGGTCTCCTCGCCGCCGCCCCCATTCCTTCGCTCCTCGGCCAGCGCGCACAGTCCACGTCACGTCACCCCTACAACTTAAAATACTCCTTGAGCACTCTCGGCGTCGCTGAGATCATTTTTTTATTCGGGCCGGTAACGCTCGTTACCCGGGGGGGGGGGGGGTCGTGCCCCCCGGGTAACGGTAACGCTTGGGCTGGGCGGGGTATGGCGAAGCAGGGGCGCTCTGCGATCGCCATAGTATGCGCGCGAGCAGCACTCTCTGCCTGAGAGCACCACAGTGGCTTGCGATTCGAGTACAAGCGCAAAGCCCGCCGCGTGGTCCCGGCACCACGCCCGCGCCCGCGCGCGAGACGACGATGATCGACGAGCGACGAGCGACGAGGTCGACGACGACGACGACGACGTTTGCCGCCTGTTTCGGCCTCCGGAGGCCGTTTTCGGGCGCCGTCGACGACGACGACGACGACGACGACGACGACGACGACGACGACGACGACGACGACGACGATTCGAGTACAAGCGCAAAGCCCGCAAGCACCAGCATCGCGCATGCGAGCGCCGCAATGGCCTGCGAGCGCCCACAGTGCGCCTGCGACCACCACACCACAGTGCGCATGCCTTCGGGCACCAGCATGTTGGAGGGGAAGACCGAGACCCCCCCCGCGTACGAGCGTTACCGTTACGGGGGGGGGGGGGGGAGAGGCCCGGGTAACGAGCGTTACCCCCCAGAGGATAAAAAAACAATCTCGCTGCGGACGCGATTTCGCCGCTCTCCGTTCCCGGAGCACTCCGTCACCGTGCCGTCGGCACGCTGGAGCGGTTTCGTCTGTGGGCTGTCTGCCAGCGGGCCCGCCCCGTGCCTCTCGCTCTCCGGCACCCTGCACGGCCCCAGGACGGCTCCGAGGCGTCCCACGATCGCCGCACTGCGGCTGCGGGATGCCCTCAAGATCGGGCTCAAGCCCCAAGACCTCTTATAGAGGCCTGAGAGGCGTCGTAAAACTCCCAAAAGGCGAGGCCCTGGGAACCGAAATAATGCAGAGAAGCCGCTCTTGAGTTTGTGCGCACATGTTGCTTCCACGGCTCTTTCGGGCCGGCCTCGAATGGCCTCGGAATCAGGGTCGACCAGAAATCTCATAGCAAATGCAGCAAAGATCGAGAGCACCGTCCCACGTTCGGGGTGGTCGAGGTGGGCAGCCGGTTCCCCCGACGCCTGGGGCTGCCAGGGGCGAACATGAATCGAGGAGTGCGCTGCGGGGCCGAAACCAGCTGCACGCAGTAGAGTTCGCACCCCCCTCCTTGGCCCCCCCCCCTCACTTCGTCCGCCCTGGCATGAGGGCAAACCTTGCCCTGGCAGGCCTGAGCTGGATCGGATCTCCAGCGAACCGTACCGAATCGCATCGAAATCAGATCGGCCCGCCTGGCTGCGGCTGGCCCTGGCCGACGCCGCCGAAGGGGGTTGGGAGGCCCAACCAACAGCTTCGCCTTAGGCGAAGCCAAGCTCCCGCTCTGTTATACCGCAGTAACAATAGTCCCAGTAGTAGGGGGCGAGCCATCTCAAGCAGTATGTTGGCATCGATGGCCAATAGTACACCTCGCGCTCGGATGCACGCTCGTTCCCACTCACATGCAGCGCCCAGCTCACTTTAGAGTGCCGAATCGCATCCGATCAGGGCGGAATCCTGGCCCCAGCCCGCGGATCGAACCGCGTCGACTCGGAGCGCAGGCGGCCCTGCCTGGCCCGTCTCCGAGAGGAGCCCCATAAGACGCCGAGGCCCCCCGCGGCGAGGGCGGACAAAAACGCGAGCGCCGCGCACGAGCAGAGCGGGCAGGCAGCGGGCCGCAGCTCGGGCTGAACTTGGGCGACCCCGGCTCCAGCGGCGCCCCTGCGGGCTCTTGGGGAGGGCTCTTGGGGAGGGCTCTTGGGGAGGGCTCTTGGGGAGGGCTCTTGGGCAGCGCCCTAGCGGGGCTCTCGAACAGCCTCACGAACCCTTGAGGGCTCAAGCTAAGCAATGCTGGTCGTTCCCGATTCGTGCTCGTTTTCCTCCGTTCTGTCTTCGTTCCGCATTTGCGGAAAAAACGGAATCAAAACCAAACGGCCCACGAAATCGCCGAAACACCGACTAGCCTGAGCGCTGAAGCCCTTCACAACGACAAACAAAGCCAAGGCACCCTGCCTGCATGCCTGCCGGTCATGCCACGTGCCTATCTCCTGGTCCCCCACCCCGCCCTCCTCGCCCATCCTCCGCCTCACCCTCCTTGTGTTTGTGCCCGTGCTGGCCTCCGTCCTCTTCGTGATCCTCATCCCTTCGGCTGTCCACATCGTCCTCCTCCGCCTCCTCGCCGCCCTCTCCCCCTCTGTGCCTCTCCCCCATTCGAAATCTGCCCCTTTCCCATCCTCCCCCCCTACTAAGCCTCCGCCGCCTCGTCATCTTCCGCCGGTTCTCCCCCTCCTCATCCTTCGGTCCACATTATGCTCTACCACCTCCTCATCTTCCCCCCCTCCCCTCGTCCTACCCCTCATACCAGTGCACCTCGTCCTCGGCTTGCTGCTCCTGTTCATGTTCCTGCGCATCGCCCTGCCCCTGCAAAACTTATTTGGTATACTACTCCTCCTGATGGTCCTCCTCCTGCTTTACCTCCTGGTCCTCCTCCTCCTAACTCGCATCCAACTTCTGTTGTTACTGCCTTCCCTTCTCCTCAACCGTCCTCCTCCCTCCCCCTTCTCCTCGATCTCACCTCACTCCCCAGATCGAGAACCACAGAGAGAAGCCTTCAGGGGGCAGGAAACTAAGGCGTCAGTCCACCGTGCCAGTCGATACTATGGTTTCAAGGCCTCTGGGAATCTCGACACCAGCCTGACAGCCCTCCCAAGCAAGTGCAAGGACCGCGGGCGTTGGGCAGGGACAAGGCAACGGGCCCAGCAACAGCTAGCACCTGCCCCCATCCCGGACTGCCTGGCCTCCCCGACTCGTCCACGAAGCTGGCCGACGATCGAAGACGAGGCAGTGCGGAACAAAAAGCATTGGGCCTGAGACGAGCAGGACGCAAAGAGCAACAGAACGCACGGGATGGGAGGCAATTCGATCACCCGACCCCCGATGTGATCTCGATCTGGCCCTTTTCCTCCTCCTCCTCCTCCTCCTCCTCGTCCTCCTCCTCCTCCTCCTCGTCCTCCTCCTCCTCCTCCTCCTCGTCCTCCTCCTCCTCCTCCTCCTCGTCCCCCCCGCGGGCATAGCCTCTAGAGCTACTATTGAACTGGAAAAGCTCGGGTGACGGCTCTGTGGAATTCCTGAGCCTGAGCAGCTCGAGAAGAGAAAGCGGCGGCCGGCGAGCGCGGCGGCGCGGAAGTAGAGCCATCTACTCCGACGCCATCTAGGAGGCGTAAAGGAAGGGTGGGTGGGTTGGGGGGGGCAGGAACGCGAGGCGGCCGGGGGCGACGCGGCGGGGGGGGCAGAGGTCGAGGCGGGGGGGGCCCCGGTCGGCGGGGAAGGGCACGGGTCGATGGGGGGGGAAAGGGGGGCCCCATGGTCCTCATCCTGCTCCTCCCTCCTCCTCCTCTCCTCCCTCTCCCTTCTCCGGAGGGGAGGGCGCAGATCGATGGTGCAGGGGACAGGGCACATTCGGGGATGGACAGACCCCCCTTTAGTAAAACGTGGTTTAGTGAAAACGACCTGAGGCCCAAACCTGGCGGGCGCAAGCCTGGAAAATAACGGCCACGGCGCCCTCTCGAGAACCGAAAACGGACAACTCATTAATCGACGTGTCACTGTTCGGGGTTCTGTCCACCCCCGACACATCTGGCACCCTACCCCTCCTTGCCATCCTCCCTTTCTATGGCGCTGCAGAATGTCCTGCTCACCAGCCCAGATGTGGAGCCTCGTCCTGGTCCCCGATGCCGTTTGAAAAGCGAGGGGGCGAGGCGCTACGGACAGACGGGCACGCGGCAGACTGGGGGGAGAAAGGGAAAGGAGGAGGAGGAGGAGGACGAGGGAGAGGAGGAGAAAGAGGACGCCAAGGTGGACAACTACGTAGGAAAAAGAGGACGAAGAGGAGAAGGGAAATGAGGAGGACGAGGGAGAGGAGGAGAAAGAGGACGCCAAGGTGGACAGCTACGTAGAAAAACCAGGACAAGGAGGGCGACGAGGGACGTCAGCGCCCTCGTGGTACGAGCATGCAGGACGAAGACGACGACGACGACGACGACGACGACGACGACGACGACGACGACGACGACGACGACACCGACGACGACGACGAAGACGACGACGAAGACGACGACGGCAACGACGAGTCGACGACCACTCACCACAGGGCTCCGGCCGCGCGCCGCCCCACCAGGCGGCGCGCGGGTCCCCGGAAGAGCTCCCGCGCTGCGTGCGGCGGCCCCGCCGCACCCGCGGGAGAGGCGTCGCCCCGCGCGGGACGGTACTCCAGACTTCGAAATAAATGGGAGGGGTTCACACCGCTCCCAAATTAGCAGTTTTAGACACCCCCAAGACCAGCCATAAAGGGCGGCCTTCTGCCCGGACCCTACTGGGACCCTCCAAGATAGCTCAAATCAGATCTCCCCCCAAATGTGACCCCCCCCCTTATCACGAAATCCTGAGTAGTGGTTTGAGGTCCCGTGTTGGAGTGTCACGCGGGAGAGAGGCGACCCCCGCACTGGGCAACATCAAGGGAGGGTAGAGAGTGGTCGCCGTGTTGGACGATTGTGGCGTAGTCGGGGCAGTGGATG